ATATCAAACGGCGAGTAGGTAGAACACATCTTTTAACCCTCGCCCTGGCAGGGCATTTTTCATAACACGGCCTGGCAGGGGGGGGGGGGGGTGTCGATGCGACCCCCCTCGCGATTGGCTCCTATGGCACCTAGAAACTGAAACACCGAATTCGGTATGTAGGTGGGCCCCCTAGAGTTATCGCTCCTGTGCAAATTTGGTTGATCTAGGTCAATATTTAGGGGGGTTTTGGGGGTTATAAATGTAAAAAATTTCGCTAAAAACAGGTCAAAAGTTTTTAGCTTATAACTTTTGATCTAATTAAAATAGAGCAAAAAAAAGCACCAGTGAACTCAGCACGTCAAGGCGCGTCGAATGATGTACTTTTTAGCTTGCTTAAGTGTACTTAAAGTTTTCTTAATTTTTAAAAGTGAACTTTAATTAATCAATTAAGTTCAAGTTAACCAAATTGCATCATATCGCATATCATTCGATTTGGCTGATCACCAGGAACACAATGACACCATTGTTTAAGCTCTAGCGTTATTATGTGCCACGTTATTGGCAAAAACGTCATTTGACCTCAGTTGACCTCATTTGACCTGACCCATGGATAAGTACACCAAACAAAGAAGCACCAAGTGACCTGCTGTTAAGTACTGTGGTTTCAAATCCCCCTTGCAATTTCGCACGTGCAAGGCCCACCCTCCCGTTCGCTCCGTTAGTCGCCCCAAAAGGCGCTATACTACATAGTATGATAGGTACTTTTAACGAATTCCTTCATTCCAGGTTACATGATTGCGAACGATGTTCTGTTCACAGATATTTCGTGAACGTTCAGCTCATGAACGTTCATTCGTGAACGTTCATTCGTGAACGTTCATGAACGTTCATGAACAAGTCATCATTTCTGATATCTTTCGCGTTATCATTCTCATACAGTAGCACACACGGTTGCAGACATCTTTTACATGTGAAAATGCACCAATGTTATCTCAAGCTCATAGAATCGTGATCTTTCATGATTCTTGCAACGCTGGGTCTTAAATTGGACATTTCAGACCTTGCATGACGTCATAAGAGAGCTGACTTAGGCCGTTCGGTGCAATCGGAGTTTGTCGCTAATAACTCTCGATCAAATTGAGCTAGCGAGTCGGTTGAGCCTTCAATGGCTGAGAAAGAACTGTCAAATCGAATGATATGCAGTGCGGCATCATCCATGCATCTTAACCGGAGTGCCTTTGATCAGACCTTGACCTGAGGTCAACATTTTGAAGTTACCCAATCCAAACATAAAATAAGTACATCATTAGACGCGTCTGGCCACGACGAGAACGATGGTAAGTACTAAGTACCACAGCGGCTGTGCCACCATTTGTGGCTAAGCTGTTTGCCAAAACTAAATAACTAGTTTGGGACACTTGACCAGACATTAGGGGTCACCGGCTGGCCTAAGACCTTAAAATCGGATACCAGTTGATGTGTCTCGCAACGACGCTTACTCTCGCTTTTTCTGCAAAGGCTTAGCTCGAATAGGAGCGAAACGGCTACGGGGTCAACCGCATTTTTACCGTGTTCGCGGACAGCTCATGAACGACCGCCAACTGTTCGCTGTTTGTTCTCTCAAAGTTGGCCGATGACGTCACTTGCACGCGAACACGATTGATCGTGAACAGTTTGTTTATTTGGAAAATGAAACGAATACCAACCCCCGCTTTTTGTGACACATAATTACATACGCACACAATCAACATGCCGATTCCTCCATGACAACATTTTTAGCGTGTGATGTGTCGCGCTATTTTGAATTTGTAACTTGCAAGTCACAATGAGCGTGGGTTGCAGCATTCTGTCGGAATAAATCTACTGACGGCCTCACCATTCGATTAGCGTTCCATCCGAGTGGATTCATTAACAGGCTCTTAATTGTCTCTTCGCCCAGAAGCTCAAAGCTGGGCCACGCACTCAGTCGTACTGCCTAGATATCTCTCTCTCCCCCCTCTCTCTCTCTCTCTCCCTCTCTCTCTTTCTCTCTCTCTTTCTCTTTCTCTCTCTCAGCTCTGTTCTGCTCTGCTCTGTTGAAGACTAGCAGGTCTCCTAGCCGACGACCGGCCGGCTTTTGACAGCGGCAGGTCCCGCCCGGTGAAAATCTCAGCAAACGATTGATTTGCCGGCCGGCTAACGATGCCCGGTCAGGCGAACGGAGGACGCCACCGGTCGCCTCCTGACGAGATGTCCAGCGACAACCGAGCATCGATTGTCGGCCCGGGGACGTGTAGCTGCGCCGTCACTCCCAGAACCGCGTCTTCACTGGGCGAGGGCGCGCACAAGGGGACACACGGGTCCCGGAAATTCAGCACAGGCCGCCGAAGGCTGCCTTAAATGGATTTTAGATCCATGACGTGGAGAGAAGGTGCCACAAATTAGCTTCACTTTGAACGGGGATGACCGCCAGGGTCTCTCTCTCTCTCTCTCTCTCTCTCTCTCTCTCTCTCTCTCTCTCTCTCTCTCTCTCTCTCTCTCTCTCTCTCTCTCTCTCTCTCTCTCTCCCTCTCCCTCTCTTGTAGAAAACCACAGACGGAGTTTGCGAAACGATCATTTGTGTGTCGCTTATAGTTTAGCGGCAACTGAATGCCAGAGTTATTCGTTGATAGCGTGGGTGCTATGGCACGTAGCACTACCAAATTTCACGCACGACTTAGGGCACCTATTTGACACTTGAACTTGGAGCTTAAGATTCCAGTGACTGGAGGTCAGGTCACAAGGTCACAAAAAGCGGTACATTGTCAAAATGGCACTAAAAATGAACTATTTTTCATGGAAACTAGAGTTCTTCATCGATTTGATTCAAACTTGCAGGATATGCTTAGGTTGCCGAGTGCCATCATGATATGCACCCCTGATTTTCAAATTCAGTTAACCTGAGGTCATATAGAGGTCATGACAATTTTTCAGGAAATTTGCCCGAAGGTGTAAAGATAAGAGATTTGTGCTTTATTTTAACCCGCGCGGGGCTGGGGTCTCCAGCCGAACGCGCGGGGCTGGGGGGGGGGGGTAAATTTTACCCCCCCCTGTTATCTCCCGAACTAATGGTCCGATTTGGAAAATTCAAACGCCAATCGAAAGCTCTCATCACGAACTACTAAAAACATGTACTTAATTTAAAGTTTGAGGTCAAGGTCAAGGTCAGGTCAAGGGTACAAATTGCAAGTTTCTACAGTATCGGCCTTGCACCGTAGTTACCGAAGAATGGAGTCATGGACTGAGACTGATCGCCCAAAACGTGTTCTTAGGCTACCAAGACAATATTCGTTGCATACAATATCATTCAGAGGTCAAGGTCAAGGTCAGGTCAGGTCAGGTCAGGTCACCAAAATACAAAATATAGAAAAGGGCATGTGCGACACATGTTTTATGGGTCATTTTACTCATAGAATTCAATAGGCACACTCAAATAGTGATATGGACCACCTCTGGATGAATTTCAGGTCGAGGTCAGGTCAAGGACAGGTCAAGTTAGGTCAAATTTTGAAGTTGGTTGTTAAGGCCTAAAAAGGTGTCTATCTGATGCAGTTTTTCACGGCGAATCGAATGGTGCTATTTTTGTTTCCGTACGAGGTCTAGAACTTCCAAAAAAGTCATTTTTCAAAAAATTTGTGTGTCGTGACGTCATAAAATTTTGAATAACTCCCACATTTTTGAACCGATTCTTCTAAAATTTGGTATGTAGGTGCACATAGACCACTTCTCTGACATATATTCCGGTTTTATCGATAGACTCAAAATTTTGGATTTTATAATGATTTTCCCAAAAAAGTTAGTTTTTTGAAAAAATTAGGCCAAAATCCAAAATTTTCAAAAAACCGAGATAGCCATTTCATAGACAAAGTAAAATTACGTATAACCTTTTTTGTTACGTCTTGATTCCTTTAAAAATGAAGATGTTAGCGGCGTTTAAACTTTTGCCGTTTTTGAGGCGAAAATGGCGAAAATGACGTCACTAAAACGTCAATTTCTCAAAAATTTTCCGACGGATTTCGCTCAAATTTTCAGGGAACGTGTCAAATTGATGTAAGAAAAGGTACTGAAAGTTTGGCGGCGCTGCGCGCCGCCGTTTTTGAGATATCGCAAAAATTCGCGAGGGGGGGTAAAATTTACCCCCCCAGCCCCGCGCGGGTTAACGTTTTTGTGTTGTGGCCTTGATTTACATCTACTTGGTGTTTGCAAGCTGCAAGAACGCCATAGGGTCGCGGATCAACTGAGGTCAACTAAGGTCAAACTACGTATTTGCTAATTTGGCACACAATGAGGCTAGAGCTTCACAAATGGTGTCGTTGTGTTCCTTAGGGTTGGTGTCAACTGTCAAGGTCACCTGAAAGTCAGGTCAGGTCATTAACCTTTGATGACCTCGGTTCACTTTAAGAGTTTTACATGCTTTTGGGCTAGTTTTTGGAGCTGATTTCGAATTTAGCAACCATATGAACATTTGCCAAGTAGTTTTAGTGCCTTCGTAACATGTTACGAAGCTGTCAGAGGCGGTTGACACCTACTACAAATACCCGGCATGACCCTTACTGGTTGACCTGACCTGACCTGACTCGACCTGGCCTAAATGCATGAACACATCATCTATGATCAAAACGAACATGATATTCGTTAAACCATAGCCATAGCCCGAAAAACCATAGCAACCACACTTTTCGACTTTCTAACAGGTCCTGATTTTCCCGACTTTTGGGTCATTGACCTGACCTATGGAAGGTCAACCGATGACCTAGTACCTTAAAATTTGATATCATCGGTTTCCTCTCGTCACAGGCAACACGCTCGTTTTTTCCGCGAAGCTCTAGCTCGATCAGGGGCGAAATGGCAAGGGGGGTCCAACAGAATCCCCCCGCCCCTATTACGTTCGCGGCTGCCAAGACACGAATACGGGCGAGGGTTAAAACATGGATTTCCGTTTGTAAATGGTTTTAACGCACGCCGAAAAATGGCGCGGGGGAGGTGGCAACCTAAAGATGCGTTCTAAGATGGTAAAATCGCTTGTTCGAGCGTCAGGCGAGGGTTAACAAAACAGCAGTGTTGTCATTATTTTTATCGAACACATACTAGTTTACACTCTATTGGTTAGGCAGTTTGACAGACTACCAAAGCGTCGTATTGTCCAGAGGTAGGAACTTTAATCCACTGGGTCAATACACTACCCAACACGACAGCATCCTCACCAACGAAGTTATCAGCTTCCGCCCAGTTGGTGTAGGTCATCAGTTCGCCATCATCACCAATAAACTGATCGTCTCCGATGCTGAGAAAACACGCACCAAGTTTGAAAGTCAAATGTTATGCGTCAAACAATGCACGAGACAGTTACTCGTATGTACAATTGAAGGTATACACGGCACCAAATAGCTTTCTTGGCGTCTAGCTGAAGAAATCTCTTTGGCATTTGACACGCCTAAAAATTAATACACTTTATTGCACAACAAGAATCAGAATTCTTCTATATTCTAGTTGTTTTCAATTTCATTTTATTTATTGCCGCAAAAATTGTTAATAGATATAATATTTTCTTGACTCTGATTTCTCAAGTTTCCGTCACTCTGATAAACGCTCTGCAGTTGCCGGGGGGGGGGGGGTGCGTCAAAGGTTCTCGTGCCTGGCGACATGCCCCCGAACGTAAAATGCTATGGACTGGTTTATCATGCATGTGCAGCAGCATTCGTTATGCCTGGGCCTAAGTAAGATTTCGTACTTACCTCATATAGCCAAGATAAACTAAATGGTCACTTGTGAGGTTGAAAGACAACAGACACGCATCTTCTTCTGCACTTCTTGGTGTAGCCAAGATGTAGCCCATGGCGTGACACACGTTCTGAAAACAGATGCAGGATCATTAAAATTAAATAAAGAAGATCTCTCTCAAACCTCACATACGTCTTTTCCACAACGTCGCGGAGAGAAAAGGGATTTGATACATTATCCCTACCTGCAGCATAACCTGTGCATCTTGCATCCTGTTGATTGGCTTTTTAGACGTTGATCTGACTTTGACATTTAGACGTTAGACGTTTAAAACTTGACTTTTTGACCTGAAAGTGTTTGGTTTCAGCTATATTCAGCTGAAAACGACCCCAAATGACAAAGAAGAATCAGTTTTCGAAATATTTGGCTGAAATGGACCATAAAACATATGCCACATGACCGATGCATGATAGAAAATTTCCGTGACCTAGGACGTCCTGGCCTTGACCTGACTAAGTAGATGGCGCGCTACGGTACTCACCAAAGCATCACTCAGTTCAGCCTGGAATTTGGTGGCCCTGTAACAATGCCCAGCGCAGGAGGTGAAGTCGGTCGGACAGTCGCACGAGCCGGTCTCGGTGTTACACGCCCCCGTGGCACACTCGCTGTCCCGCGCACAGGCGGCTCCCAGAGCCAGTGCTCCAGTGGGTGCCCGGCAGACCCAGCCGTCTGCTGTGCTGACACACTCCTGGCCAGTGCCGCAGGCCGGCTGGTCGGAGCGGCAGTCCCCAGTGCCGCGATGGCACAGGCCGAGACGGCAGCGGCCGGAGCGGCACCACGAGTCGGACAGGCACAGCGTGCCCGCACCGCGCCGCTTGTAGCACCGCCCCAGCAGACTGTACCGGCTGGGGCCACACCCGTCGGAGGTGGGTTTGGTGCGCGCCGGGGCGCCGGCCACGGACACGGTCTCCGGGCTAGCCGGCGTGGTGGAGCACCGAGTCGCCTGAAAACATGACATTGGCTACATGAGTTGATATGACATTGAAATGACATGTACATGATGTTACATACATGACATGACATGACAATATATAGACAATGGAAATTGGACAATGGGCATGCCATTGATATAACTTGACATGCCATTGATAGGTATGGCATGGCAATGATAAGCAGTTTGCCGTGTGGGATGCAGTACAAATGTCATGTCCATGTCATGACATACCATGTCATTGATTAGAGGCTCGTGTGGGCGGTGCTAGGGAGAGCATTCGAGGGTGCAGCTGCACATCTAAAATTGACACTGGTTTAAAATCATAACTGTAGTTCGTATATGTAAAGTTCAACCCTCACTGTAAGCGTCTCTTTGAACACAGCACGAGAATTGCTTGCTGAATTACTGAGAAAACTGGTTGGCGCAAAAAAACTGGTTGAATTTCACTGACGATCAACCAACGATCAAATATATCAAAATTATTTCTTCCTGGCTCCTAGTTCCCAGACTCCCAGCTCGTATTTACTCATATTTACAGCCCCACAGGGAAAGACGATTTGTCAGGAATGATATAACTGAACTAATAAATTAACCCGGCACCGCCTGGGCTATTTCCGTACCCACATCAGCCTGGGGGGGGGGGGTCGGATCCGACCCCCCCCCCCTGTTATCTCGAGAACCAATGGTCGTATCGAGCCCCGCGAGGCGGCGTTCGAAAGGTCTCTACGAGACCTTCCCAAAGCACTCTTAAGATTTTAAGATTGAGGTCAACTTTCGGGTCAAGGTCAGGTCAAAGGTCAAATTCAGGGGTTTTGCATGATTAGGCTTACGGACAGCGGAATCGATAGCTGCTGCTCGAAACTCACCACAAATGACCTCAAAGACCTAGTGAAGGTACCATGTGCGTATAGGGGTCATACTAAGTACGGGTCAAGGTCAGGTCAGGTCACGAAAGGTCACGGTTTTCACTTTCTGCTACATGGGCGTGCGACACATGTTTTATGGCTTATTTTTCACGCCAAATCCGATGGTAATGGTTATATGTGACCCCAAGTCACTGTGCTGGTGATAAGTGTGCATTGAAAGCATAAAAAATCGTTTATACCATACATAGCTAAACGAGGGCTAAGAAAAAAAGTCAATTTTTCAACTTTTTATTTTTGACATAAAAATGCACTTTTCTAACGGAGCTTTGTACCAGGAATCTAGTGGTGCCATTTGTTTTCACATGCGATGTTCAGAAGTGCCTCTAATTTGCGAAAATGCTTATGACGTCACCTTCCCTATGCATGTTGGAGCTATTTTTTACAATTTGGGGGTCAAAAATCAAGATAGAAAGTTGAAATTTGGGACATCTATTGTTCTAATAGAGCTCTATAACATATATTCCGGTTTTTTGGAAATTCTCAAAATTTTGGATTTTATTAGCTGTTTTCCAAAAAATAGAGTTTTTTGAATTTTTAGGGGTGAAAAACGCATTTTATGGAAAATCCGAGATAGCCATTTTAAATAACTCGTTGAGTTGCGTCTTTTCATGTCCTTAATTTGCAATTTGCTTAAAACCTCGATTTTTGGCGATTTTTTAAACATTTACCATTTTTTGACTGAAAACGCCATGTAGTTACATCACTAAAATCAATATATCTCAAAACATTTTGAAATTTTTTCTTAAAAATTGCACAGGAGACGTCAAATTGATGGGGGAGAAGGTATGCGAAGTTTCAAGTTGATAGCTCAAGCGGTTCACGAGTTATTCAAGAAAAACGGAGGGGGGGGGGTCGGATCCGACCCCCCAGGCGGTCGCGGGTTAATGGCACGGCGTTTAACGTAACGGTACATCATCGGTGTTCAAACTTTTCTTGGAAATATCATTCACATCTTCAATACAATGTGCTCTGACCAGTGTTCTCAGTGATTCAGGCAGTAATTTTCGTGCTGTGTTCAAAAAGATGTTTACAGTGAGGTTCGAACTAAAAAAAAAACGAACTATGTAGTAAAATTTTGTCACTGCAGACAATAACAATACAAACCCAGCAAAACTAAAAACCAGACGTTTCAGATAACAAAACCTCTCGATAGTGGAAAATTATAAACACATCTTTTTATAATGGTTAAGTATGTATTACATATTTATATATACCTCATCAACGTATAAGCTATGGAGGATTCTTCATGGGTCAAGTGCATGATACGGATATCTTTTCCAAGCTGATTACTGAAAAGCCGAGCGACGAGGGAGCGATGTTTTTCTTTGGCACGCGAGGAAAACTTATCCAATCTTCCACGAGTGAGCCATGAGGAACCCTATGTATATCTTTCTATGTAGAGGTTTATTCTTGATTGATTTAATGTTATATTCAAATGCAAAACTAGCAAAGCAAAATATCTATGCAAAAACAGATTCAAAATACTTTGTTTTTAAATCAAAAGTTTCATTCTAAATTCTCCCGTTACCCGGAATTGCGCGATCGGACGGTAGGGGTCGGGGACTACGCAACAAGCTCTGCTTAGCGTAGGCTTCGGCTCTGTCAATCCGTCCATTCAAACATTCGAGCCAAATTTATTTTAAAAAATCACACACAACCTTTAAAAATCATTCGGTTATTGACGCATCATCACTTGAACTCTTGCTTTTTGGCTATCGGAACCCTTGAGACTCTATCCTTGCATTTCAGAGGGGTGCAAAGATAACAAATTTTTATATTTGCATATCAGAGCAGTGCGAGATAGAAGAGCCTCGTTATAGCCCTGCACTGGACCTAATGGCAAATAAATCTCTACTAGAAAGATAAGGATATCTTTTCCACGCGGGTTAAAGAAAATTGAGTAACGAAGAAGGAGCGATGTTTTTTTCTGCAACGCGAGAAAAAGATATCCGAGCTTCCTCGTGTAAGCCAAGGATAATCTTTTATCTCTCTATGTAGAGTTCTTTTTCATAGTTCATTTAACTATTATTTTCACATACCTCTAGTCATTTTTGCCCACAAAAAACATATTAATGACGGTTTATATTTAATTCACAAGTTTCATCACAACCACCAAAAAGGGTTTGGTTATTGATGCATTATACGTAGAATGTTTGATTTTTTCTTTTTGCTATATGAACCCTCGATATTTTATATCTTGTCATTTTAGAGGGATGCAAGGATAACAAATTCTTGGCTTTGCATCTCAGAAGAGGGCAAGATAGAAATTGTATTGCACTGTAGACACTGAGCAAATAAACCTCTACTATAAGAATGCATCATAATGCATCAAGAATGTATAAGAATGTATGTATTATAGAAAGATGTATCCGTAATTATCTGTCCGAAGCATATTCATTGATATATTTGCCAAAATGCAATTGTTTCAAAACAAAAGACACGACAAACAATGTTTAGGTTTTGCTTTTTCGCCGTAGTTTTAGACTTTTTAGCTCCCTGCATGATAAATTTATTAAAAAGAACCATTTATTAGTTATTTCAGACACTACATCGATTCAATATAAATTGGCATTCATGAACAATTCCAAAATGACCTCACCTCGAGAATGCATACCACCAGCAGGGTCGCCACCAGCAGCAGTTGCGGCAGAAGCAGTCGGCTCATCTCGGAGCTGTGGAAAGCTGCGCTCGGAAGCTGCCAGTAGATGACGGGAAGCTGTCAGAAGCTGCCTGGAGTCGGCCGCAGATTTCGGCAGCGGATGCCTGCCGCGGATGGCGGTTAGATCGGAACTGCCGCCCGTCACCCGGCCGGCCAGTCACCCCACTTTGTTTACCAGCACAGACCTGTTTACGTGTTTACCATGGGACCAACGGGCTGTTCGCCAGAGGGCTGAGCCGGGCCGAGGAATGCGGACGTGTTTGTGTGTGCGTGTGTGTTTGTGTGTGGAGTCCTTAGCGTGACCCGACCGTCGTGTTGCGGTTGGGGCGGATGTGGGTCGGCGGTCTAATGGAGTAGCGGTCCACGCATACACACACAGTCGCTGTGGTGTAAGATGTGTAGCCTAGCACGGCATTTCCCTTTGTCAGTATGAACCTCACAGGTAGCAAATGCATCAGAGATTCACAACCTGTTTGTTCTAACTGCATGACTGCACCGCACATATTATTGGGCTTGCTGCCTGCTGGTGCTTTTTACAATGAACACAAGCATAAACCTCTTATGAGGACTGGACATTGGACAATGTCTACATATGTATACATATAAAAGTAAGGGGATTGGTCAGAGAAACTTATTGATAGTACATCAATCGATATGTTTGTGACTGTTAGAGGAAGATAAAACAAAAAGGAAGTAGAGGATCGTAATTTGTCTGCTTGCCATGCGAGTTCATATATGATTCGAATCACAAAATGTGTTTCTGTGAATATTTAAGATAGCGCTTTTGTAACACCCACTGATTATTGACTATTATTGACTAGATATGGAATCATAGGCACATGAACAGACACAACCAGAGCCCAATCTTACCAATTGCCGTGAATGCGCATTCACGGCATTTGGTAACATTCAGTACTATTCCACATTCAATTATTCATTCGTTCAGGCAACATTCATAATCATTCACGCCATCAAAATCACTGGACAAGATTAGCTGGATGTAAATAAAAAGGATATCTTTGATATCAGTGCCGTAAACTTCGGCCAGTGCTGCCAAATCCCATTTACGGCATTGGTAAGATTGGGCCCTATGGTTTCGTTTGATGCCATTACTCGCTGCATTCTCCTGATGTGTTCTATAGGTGACATCAGACATTCTTACTAATGCACCCCATTGTGAACTATGACTTGGGCTCGCCGGCGCTGGCTCCGGCCTGCGCATCGCTCTGCATAAGTGATGGATCACACGGAAACTCGAGATACTTTCCCGGGCGGCCGTATTTCATTCCGTTTGACGGCGAAACAGCGGGCTGGTGGCTACTGACGAGCCGAGGATCCTAGCCGGGAAGTGTTTAAAACGCCCTGCGCGGCCCCACGTGATGGATAGCCGCAGCTGCAGACGCCTTGTTAAACGACTGTGACCATATGAAGATTTGGACGTTGATATTTTAATATGGCCGCCGACCGACCGATGGCCGCCGTTTTCACGACGGCCATCTTGTACACATTTGGTGCACATCTGGTACAGATTAGGTGTAGATCTGGTCAAATCAGGTTCAGTGTGTCTCTTAGCAGCTATCAGCTAGGGTTGCACTAATTGCTTATATGCCTGCCTTGTCATATTATCAGAGAGCATCATCAATTAAAACACTGAAATAAATTCATAAAATGAAGATATTTGCTGTAAAAGAAATTAGGTGCAGATTTGGTCAAATCAGGTGCATTCGCCGGATAGCCCGTCGTGAAAACGGCTATTATGGTCAGCCAAAGGCCTATAGGTGGTTTGCTAAGTTCAAGATGTTATTAGCGGTTAGGGGAGAGCGGGGCCAGTTGAAACACGGGGTCAGATGAAACATGGCTTTATTTTCAACAATATGCAACATATGGCGTTGCCGACACCACTGCGCATCCGCGCTCGACCACTTCCGTTGTCAACGGCGTTTGGGCGGCAAACGGACGGTAATTTTGATTTGACACTTGTTTTTGTGTTTTTGAGGGGCGTTTGGGAGAAATCGTTTTTATGAATATTTTGTGATATCTCATATACCTTTGTTTGCTAAAAGAATAACTCCTGGCTCCGGAATAACACCTTATTTGGCCCTTCATTCAGCATGGTGCCGTCCCTCCAGCTCGTTTGACATGTGCTTTACGGCGCGTGCGAGATGGCGGGAGCGGATGGGGTCAATTGAAACGCTTCTCTGAGGGTCAGTTAAAACAGGGCCACAGGCCGTTTCAATGGACCCCGGTGACCTTTGCAATAGTTATTGTTCAGGGGCTGTAAACATTAAAGAAAATAGTCCACCTTTGAAATGAGCTTTTAAACTGAAATAGTAGTTTAATAGAGCTCAATTTTTTACCCCTTTTTCTCCAGCCTTTTGCTTGAAAGCACACTATAGCCTGAGATATTTCTCATTTTTCTCATCCGCCCATTTTACCATAGTCTATGTACTTTATGTCACCTATTATGAGGAACTTTGCACTTTTAGCTTTCCAACGACCTATTGAATGTAGCATTTGGAAAAGTAAACCGGACAAAATATCTCCTTAAGAAAGTGGCTTTAAAGAGGAAAACATCCCATTGTTAAGGATAGGTGCAATTGACCCCATGGGCTGGTTCAATTGACCCTCGCATCGGGGTCATTTGAAACGGGCGTAGAGCTGTTTTATAAGCATGCGTTTGGCAGCAAAATATGTTTGAAACATAATTTTATATATCTTAAAATAAAGCCAAAAGAGCATATTTTTTCATGGCATTGTGCATTTTTCGATATGACAACTAGATCTCGCTGTGCATGTCAATATATAAAAAGTGGTTCAACTGGCCCCGCTCTCCCCTACTGGTCAGCTCTCATGGGATGAAGGTCCAATGAAGGTCCAATGGGATGAAGGTCCAATGAAGGTCCACATCCAATATTGATTGTTCATGGCAGTAACTCATGCAAAATCGAATTATTGTGCTTCGGTTGTCGAACTGCGCTGAGTTATTGATGGAACTGAATTATTGTCTTCTGTTCATACTCATTACCTACGGCTGATGGAGGAAACATTTTTATGAAGCAGAGCTCACATAAAAATAAAATGATATTGTGAAAGCATTAGTATATTAGGCAATGCCGCATTTACACTTATTCGTTTCTCGTTTGTATTTGCAGGCACTGTGTGCTAAAGACATTCAAGGCTAGCAGGACCAAAATCCTAAAGCAAAGAAACCTTGTATTTCCTGACTACATGTTCTCTCGTGCATATTTCAACCAGGATGTAAGGATTCTAGCCCGTGGTCAGCAGTGTCGTACCGTGAGCCGGCCGCGCCGGTGCTGTGGGGACCGACCCGCGGCGGCCCGGTCGACCTTGCCTGCGGCGAGTACAGGTCACGTGGTCGGGCACCGGGGAGGGAGGTCAGCTGGCCAAATACACTCAGTTTGGAACCGGAGCTCGCTGTGTCACAAGAAGTAAGGATCACTGTTTACAAGTAAAAATCCCGTAAAACACGGAACAAATAAAGCATGAATGCGTTTCGATTATTAACGCTTGCGTGCTATATTTGTTCCGTGTTTTACTACTTGTCTTTATCAATACTTATACAATCCCGAGTGTGTTTTCGGCCAATGGCAGGATTCCAATTACTGTGCTGCGCTTAGTAATAAGCTATAGCTGGATATGGATGCAAATGCAAGCTTTTGGACATTTTTAAGCTAAATTCATACGTAGCTCCACCTCATGCGTAGCACCATGCCTGGCTATATCATTTATCTGTCGTCTCTCGGTCAAGTGTTGTGTCCATTCTGTTTCAAAGGAACCACCTAGTCTCGACGAAAGACCAAAAGCACGCTGGTTCAATCGCGAGTCCCGAAGGTCTTGAGTGAGTTAGGATGGGAAAATACCTGTTGCTGACTCTGATTAAGAATAGACCGCTATAGGGGAAGAATAATGAGACCCACCGGAACAGTCGTCCGCGTTGGAGATAAGGAGCACATTAATTTCAGCACGTACCGAGCAGGAACTCCGGTCGGTGATATATCGGTGCAGTATATCAGAACTTTACCGCGCCAATGACCTCACGGCAATTCCAGAATATGGAAAGGATGTAAGTACCTACTCGCCAAGTGTCAGTCGGTATGCAGTTAATCTCTGAGTCAATGTGATGCTTTTTGGCACGGGTTATTTTTCAGGTGACTGGATGCAGACACAGTATATCCCTGACTTGCAACCGTTCCGATCACTCGCCGACTGAGACTCAGAATGCAGTAAGACGGTTAGCGAAATGGGCTGTCGTAGGCACAGGAAGCTGCAGGAAAACATTCTCAGAGATATATGTGGACAAGCGAAGAAGCTAGCAATATTTTGTATAGAGATGTCGATTCTCATTTGCCACAATATTTATTAAGGAGAAGGTAAAAAAAAAAAACAGAAGGAACTGCATCGCATAGAAAGAAAACGTAATAAAGAAATAAAGAGAAAGCGCGAAGAGAAGTGGACGAAGAGAGGCAGAGGGAGAAAGATAGAGGGAGGGAGAGAGAGAGAGAGGGAGAAAGAGAGAAAGAGAGAGAGAGGGAGAAAAAGAGAGAAAGAAAGATTGAAAGAAAGCAAAGGGAGAGAGCGATCTTACCTCTCCTGCACACGGTGACAAAGGGAGCTGCAGCTCTGCCCAGTAACTGGCACCCCCGCCAGTGGACTCGCCTCGTGAGATGGCCCTCGGACGACCAATAAAGCTCCTCCTCGGCAGAAGAGCCAACGCCCGGTGCATAGCACGTCGGCCGTACAGATTGGAGCGGTCTAGTGTGGCTGCTGTCGGAAGGAGGCACTGGGGAACTCTCAGTAGCATGGGTGCTTCCTCGGTATAACACGGTATTACGGTGACTTGGGTCACACCTCCCATATGGGCTGTAATGGTCTACACTCTACAGTCTACACATAGTGCCTTTGAATGTTGACTTTTACAAGAATTGAAACGAAATTTTCAGCTCTTCAATATTACGCCGCTCTGCGGGCCATGGTTTTCTTTAAACACGCAAAAGAAAAACCGGAGGGTAGCCACAAATTTTCCACCCCCGACAAAGGTGGAGAGCAAAAAAAGCAATTTTGAAAATGAAGTAGATCTACAGCAATAACTCGCATTCAAACATTTCTCAGTATTCTCATCATTCGTTCTGGAAGGGACGCGGCTGACTGCTTTTCCGACTGGAGCAGTGTCGCTAACATCTCATTTGGTGTGCTGCCCGGTCGATGTAATTAAGTTGTTGTTCCGTTGTTCCGTTCCCATTCTCCGACCCTCAGGAATGAGGGTTTGTTCGAAAATGTCAGGCCCGACGACACTGGCCGACTCTGAGCACAAATACGGCTGCGCTGCTTGTCAGCACGGCCGACATTTCTAATCGTGATTTGAAATCTTCCTCTACAAAATGTGTGGCTCTGTGTGCAGTAAAACAACGGTGACCTGCAAGATATACAGGTGGCTGACGTGCAAAAATAATTTAATGGTACGGCCAGACGCTTCAATGTAGCTAATAGCTCTTTGTTTGCTAAAACGACCTTTGATGCTACATTTGTGCCAGTCTGGCTTCATCAAGCATCGGGTTCTACTCATAAAGCCAAACCGCCAATGAAGGGTACTCAATAGGTACTCATGCAGCTTATGACAAGGGATGTGAAAAGGAACGACAAGTTGGAATAATGGGCATTGATTAAGTGAACTAATTTATGAAAACAGCAAGCAATATTTGATGCATGTTCAATACGATAAAAACATGAGATAGAAATATAATTTCAAGGGTATGGGAAGGACAGAAAGAAAGAGGATATGTTCAACATTTTTTTGACATTATGTTAAGCTTAAGTTTGAGCCGGTCCCGTAGCTCAATCGGTAGAGCCTTAGACTTCGCGTGGTGAGAGCACGCGTTCCCGGTTATAAGAGTCCGGGTTCGAAGCGCGACGGACGCTCGATGTTCATGAGCCTCCTGACAGGTATGGTTGCGGTTAAAAGACGATATTCAGAAATTTTATAAAAAAAACGCAGTTGGCTGGAAGAATCCTACAAGCATTTTCTCGAAGTCGAGTGATTTTACGATACATCCCTGATTCCAGACCAAAAGTTGGACGTGACACTATTGCTTTAGACAGTACACGGCTCTGGGGTTGGGTTTCTGATGGCGCTCGGCGTAGCTTCTAGTGTCGGACACGGCAGTTTTTTCGGGAGGCAGCGTCCGTAAATAGTGGGCATCCAGTGGCGCACGGGCGGCGCCGTCCGTTTATTGAGCCCTCTAAATTACCGCTCTGCCAGGCGGCGGATTTATTAACACAGCCGCTCGGCACGTGTAGCGCCGCTGAAACTTTCAGCGCAGCCGCCTGCGGTACGGGCGCCGCCGCGCGTCCGGCCGACAGCAAAACAAGCCCGCTGAGTTACCGCGAGTCACGACCGCCGGCCGCCCTCCCTCTCCTCCCATTCATACTCCCTTTCCTCCCATTTGCTCCTTCTCCTCTCCCTTTTGCTCTCTCTCTCTCTCTCTCTCTCTCTCTCTCTCTCTCTCTCTCTCTCTCTCTCTCTCTCTCTCTCTCTCTCTCTCTCTCTCTCTCTCTCTCTCTCTCTCTCTCTCTCTCTCTCTCTCTCTCTCTCTCCCTCTCTCTCTCTTTCTCTCTCTCTCTCTCTTCCCACTTACCACCTCTCGGCCTTTGCTCACTTTCCCTCTCCGCGGGTGGGTTGTCCGGTAACCAAAGCTTTCGATGGTAGATCTAAAATCTACGGATCTATTTGTATTATAGGCCTATTCACAAGATTGATATCGGAAATATGTAGAATGAACGATTTAATTATCGTGCAATAAAGTTATACTACATACCTATCATACCTATTGCTGAACCAGAAATTAACCCGCGCATGATGGGTAACCCCTTCAATATCTTTCTAAATCGTTTGACGGATCAGCACGAAACTTGTGGTACCCTCAGCGGCATCAATTTGACACCTTATGTTAAAATTTCAACTTTCCAGTTACCATAGTGTGACCGGAAATGACGTCAGAGTGACGTCATGTCGGCCGATTTTGATGCAAAATATTGAATTACCTACGAGAGACGCTCTCAAGAGCTTAGTTAGCTAGATCCAATTTATTTGCATCACTGGACTACAAATACACCTTGCTATCAAACTGCTATCTCGAATGTTCGAAATTTTGAAAATTTTGAAAAGATATGTTTTTACCATTACAAAAAATGTATTTTTTGATACATGATTTTTCGCAAAAACCGGAATATTTGTGATAGAACCCACACTGGTGTCTTTTGATGTGTGTTTTTAACGGGTCGGTAAAAGCTAGCTGGCTAATAAGCCCTTTAAATCTATGAACAATTTCTTTCACTGCTGAAAAAATGTGACTCCGATTTATTGGTCAATTAGTTAATGATTTCCTTCACGCAATACACAGGTCTTAATTCCATTGTGATTTACCATATTCATGCCAGCTATTCTTGCCGGTAAAATTTTCCAAACATAAGAATCAAAGAAATTGTGAACTCTTCCTTTTTCAGGTGAAAAACAGCAAACAAAAACCAGCTCATGTCTTACCACCATTGGGCCTATTTGATTGGTCAAACAGATCTGATCACCAATTGGATGGTCGCGTTGCGTGCGCCACAATCGTCCTTCGTTGACGTCATTAACGATACCCGATCGATGACGTCAGCTGCTGGCATCGCGCTCTGCTCCAATCACCGAGATGCGATCATGATCTGATCGATCTCGGGAAATGTGGGCTGCTGCCAACATAAAACAAATATGCTTATGCACATCAGTGCTAGATCCCGAAATCAATCAACGTAATCGAATGTTCACTACTCGTTTTTGAATGACCGTTGTTTACATGACACTGGGCTACCGAGTGACGTCAACTTTGAGCAAAACATCGTCCTCCTTCAACCGACGTTTTCAATTGAAAAGAGAACGTGAAAAATGACGGGTCCGCCTCCACATGGAATAGGATTTTCCGCGACAAAGGAGCACGTGTCAGCTTATAACATGGTCTTTTTGACGTCACTGAAGGTCATAAAAGCAGCTCGGTTTATGACACAGATGGCTTCAGGACCAATTTGGCCGCCCGGATGGCGGGGAGGACGCAGTGTGGGGCGTGCCGACTATGTATATCTCCAGCCGAGGTCAGTTTCCATTCCAAAAAAAAAATCCTTCTTATGAATGAACCAGAGAACAGGACGCACGGAAGCCAGCATTCTGAGGCTCTGCTCGTGGGATTCTTAAAAGTTTCAGATGGTATTTATTGCATAGGTACATTTGTTGACGAATCTGAAATCAATATGCGGCCTAGTCAATAATAAAACATCACTCAGCGTTTTGGAATCTAACTCAGCGGAGACTGAGCGCCACCAGTTAAAGGCAGCTGATAAAGAAGTAATGGTACAGGGGTAAGCGGAACGGGGACGCTTTCTGCTTTCAGTGCAATTAGATCCGTTCCTCATCAGGTTATGGGTATTTAGCGTTAGTCTTCGCATCTAGATAAGAACTCATTCGCAGCGTCGGCCGCGTCAGTTAGCAGCCCATTTTCTTCGCAGTGAGGATCCCTTCTACCTGCCATCACGTTTCAGCGTGGGACCGACAGAATGGAATTCTGGGGGCCATGAAACTGCTACTTTTCTCGCGGTCGGTCCTCCACTGCCCTGGCTAATGGGTCTGTTTACGTCAGCACCCTAGCCGCCCATCCGCGCACGCGCTGCACCTGTCCACCGTCTCCGGCTGGTATGGTTACTCTGGCTGGCCGGTGTTTCTCGGTGCGCTGAAGTCGTTTATATTTTTTTAGAACGTAGCGCTGATGTCAGGGATATTAAGAACTTACAAAGATGTAAACTCTTTACAGCCCCCGTAATTACAAGGCCACTGAAATTTTTGGGCTCCTTCACTTTTTCAAAGTGAATCATTTGAAGGTCTAGCTTTGTGTGCCAGGTTAGTAACAAAAACGTAGTTTGACCCCGTTTGACCTTAGTTGACCCGACCTATTCGGACAAATTTTCTGGGAAATTATCATGACCTCAGGTCAACTAAATTAAAAAAGGATACGTGGATGCATGTTATGGCATTCGGTGAGCTTGGCATATCCTGCAAGTTTGAATCAATTCAATGCATATCTCTATCCTCGTGATGAAAAATGACCTTATACTCACGATATAATATGATTAAATTGAATTATGAATTATAGTATGAATTATGATTTTAATTGAAATAAGACCAAAAATCATTGATATATTTCGAATTGCGTCGTCTTCGGAATGCGTCGTCTTTGGAAACATTCCGAGGACGACACAAGTAGAAATATATCAATGATTTTGTCCTTTCCTATCCTTCATAAAATAGTGTAATTTCAGTGCTATTTTGACAATGCACTGGTTTTGTGACCTAATGACCTGTCTCATTATGGTAACTCATGGACCCAAAACTCCCAGGATATGTGTCAAATGAATGCCACAAGGAAATACTTTCAAATAATACATTCAACCACCACACATTCAACCTTACATTCTTACATTCAACCACTATATAAAACTCCAGTGTACCATATCCTTTTTATTTTTCGTGATCCGTCGCTTAACTATGCACTGTGACACGAAATGGGAAATAAATTCGATTTGTAAATACCGTAACTACAAGTGTGAGAAATGACCAGGGATTGAATCGAATATGAGAGGGAGAAATAACTACAAGGATGGTTGGGAGTAAAATTTTTAGTATGGGCCTCTAAGATCTTTTCTAACGTCAGCTCTTCGCTATAAACTATGTGTATCGATAGGACGGTTATATTTGCGAA